GAGGCAGGAAATTAGGGATAAGTACCCAGGGGGTTGGGAATTGGGGTTAAATACCCTGGGGGTGGGAAGGAGGGATAAATACCCTGGGGGGAGGGAAATTTGGGGCAGGGGGGGTGACCCCAGACCCCGTGAAGACCCTCAGGGAAGAGTTTTGGGTGCAGATCCAGCCCCTTCCTGTTCCCAACGTGGGGAAGAGGGGTGGGAACTGGGGCTTGTACCCTGGAACTGGGAACAGTTCCCTGTGTGTCCAGGAGATCCACGACCTGCTAAGCAACTACGAGCTCAAGTACTGCTTTGTGGACAAGTACAAGGGGACAGGTGGGTGGAACTGGTTCCAGCTCCATGGATCCAACCTCTCCAGGTCCATGGATCCAACCTCTCCAGGTCCCTCAGCCCTTGGATCCAACCTCTCCAGGTCCCTCAGCCCCTGGATCCAACCTCTCCAGGTCCATGGATCCAACCTCTCCAGGTCTATGGATCCAACCTCTCCAGGTCCATGGATCCAACCTCTCCAGGTCCCTCAGCCCTTGGATCCAACCTCTCCAGGTCCCTCAGCCCTTGGATCCAACCTCTCCAGGTCCCTCAGCCCCTGGATCCAACCTCTCCAGGTCCCTCAACCCATGGATCCAACCTCTCCAGGTCCCTCAGCCCCTGGATCCAACCTCTCCAGGTCCCTCAGCCCCTGGATCCAACCTCTCCTGGTCTATGGATCCAACCTCTCCAGCTCCCTCAGCCCCTGGATCCAACCTCTCCAGGTCCATGGATCCAACCTCTCCAGGTCCCTCAACCCACGGATCCAGTTTTCTGGATCCTCAGGGCAGCTTTTCCAACCTCAGGATGTCCCAACCCACCAACATCATCCCTCCTTCCCTAGACCTCCCCAGGTCCCTCAGCCCCTGGATCCAACCTCTCCAGGTCCCTCAGCCCCTGGATCCAACCTCCCCAGGTCCCTCAGCCCCTGGATCCAACCTCTCCAGGTCCCTCAGCCCATGGATCCAACCTCTCCAGGTCCCTCAGCCCCTGGATCCAACCTCTCCTGGTCTATGGATCCAACCTCTCCAGGTCCCTCAGCCCCTGGATCCAACCTCTCCAGGTCCCTCAGCCCCTGGATCCAACCTCTCCTGGTCTATGGATCCAACCTCTCCAGCTCCCTCAGCCCCTGGATCCAACCTCTCCAGGTCCATGGATCCAACCTCTCCAGGTCCCTCAACCCACGGATCCAGTTTTCTGGATCCTCAGGGCAGCTTTTCCAACCTCAGGATGTCCCAACCCACCAACATCATCCCTCCTTCCCTAGAACCTTGGAGCAGGAACATCTCCAACCAGGTCCCATTGGCACCCATGACCATTATCCCTCTTCCCAAATCCTCTTCCAACCTCATCCCCATCACCTGCATGGACGAGTCATTCCCACCAACTCCTCCAGGTGACTCCAGATGATGAAAGACTTGACCAACCTGTTCCTCATCCCTCCCTTCCCATTTTTCCCCCCCTTTTCCTTCAGCTTTTGTCACGTTGCTCAATGGGGAACAAGCAGAAGGAGCCATCAGGGAATTCCATGGGACCAAACTCCGGGAGAAGGAGATCTCAGTTCAACTCCAACCCACGGATGCTCTTCTGTGCATCGCCAACCTCCCCCAACTCTTCACCCAACAGCAGTTTGAAGAGCTGGTCAGACCTTTTGGCAACTTGGAGAGATGTTTCCTGGTCTACAGCCAAGAAACTGGACATTCCAAAGGTTATGGATTCGTGGAATACATGAAGAAGGATTCAGCAGCTCGAGCCAAGTCGGATTTGTTGGGGAAGCAACTGGGAACCAGGACTCTCTATGTCCACTGGACCGACGTCAACCAGTTGACCTTGGATCTTCTCCATTCCAAGTGTTTGTGTGTGGATAAACTTCCCCACAACTTCTCAGACCTGGAGGAGCTTCGACGTGTCTTCTCCTCATCCTGCTCTCCCACTTTTTGCCAGGTAAAAAGATGCTGTGGAGCTCTTTGGGTTGGGAAAGGTCTTTGATGGTCACCCAGTCCAGCTTTCAACCCAACTCTGTTGTGATCAACCCCCTAATCCATGTCCCTCCATGGTTTTAGAAGCTCTCCAGGGATGGGGACTCCACCACCTCTCTGGGCAACCTGTTCCATCCTCAACAACCCTTTCCAGACAGGAATTGTATCCCAAGATCCAACCTAAACCTCCCCTGGTGGAGCTTTAGGTCTTTTCTTCTTGTCTTGGCACCATTTCAGAGGGTCCTGGGATGGGTTGGGTTGGTGGGACCTTCAAGATCATCTAGATCCAACCCCCACCATGGGTAGGGACACCTCTTGGAGCCCAGGTTGCTCCAAGCCCCATCCAACCTGCCCTTGGACACTTCCATCACCCACAGCTTCTCCAGGAAACCTCTTCCAGGGTTTCCCCACCCTCCCAGCCAAGAATTTCCTCCTCATGTCCAACCTCCAGCTCCCTCTGCCAGTTTTCATCCATCCCCCCTGGTTCCTCCAACCCAAATGGTCCTGTGGTTCTATGACCCAGCACTTGCCCTTGTTGAAGCTCATACAGTTGGATCCAGCCCCTGGATCCAACCTCTCCAGGTCCCTCAGCCCCTGGATCCAACCTCTCCTGGTCTATGGATCCAACCTCTCCAGGTCCCTCAGCCCCTGGATCCAACCTCTCCAGGTCCCTCAACCCCTGGATCCAACCTCTCCAGGTCCCTGAATCCAACGTCTCCAGGTCCCTCAGCCCCTGGATCCAACCTCTCCAGGTCCCTCAGCCCCTGGATCCAACCACTCCAGGTCCCTCAACCCATGGATCCAACCTCTCCAGGTCCATGGATCCAACCTCTCCAGGTCCCTCAGCCCCTGGATCCAACCTCTCCAGGTCCCTCAACCCCTGGATCCAACCTCTCCAGGTCCCTCAGCCCCTGGATCCAACCTCTCCAGGTCTCCCAACCCCTGGATCCAACCTCTCCAGGTCCTTCAACCCATGGATCCAGCCTCTCCAGCTCCCTCAGCCCATGGATTCAACCATTCCAGACCCTTCTGTGGACCCTCCCTGCCCTCCAACAGCCCAACCAACCTTCCCACCCAACATCCTCTTCTCCTACTGTTCCTCCACCCCATCCAACCCACAACCAACCGGTGCATCCATGGGAACGACGTGTGAGACAGAGCAGGGAGGTGGATCATCCCATTCTCCTGCCCCTCATCCTGGAATTCCTGTCCTTCCCAGTTGGCCTACGGGCAGGATGGGCAGCTGAAGGGCTTTGCTGTCCTGGAATACGAGTCAGCAGAGGCAGCTGAGCGGGTCCAACGGGCCATGGATGGAATTCCACTGGCTGGGAATCACGTCCGCGTCTCCTTCTGCGCCCCCGGCCCCCCCGGGCGCAGCATGTTGGCTGCCCTGATTGCTGCCCAGGCCACGGTGAGGCTGCTTCCTCCTGCCTTCCTCTTCCTCCTCCCTTCTGCCCCCTCTTTCCTTCCTCCTTTCCCTCCTCTTTCCTTTTCCCTCCTCTTTCCTTTTCCCTCCTCCTCTTTGCTTCCTCCTCCTCCTCCTCTTTGCTTCCTCCTCCTCCTCCTCTTTCCTTCCTCCTCCTCCTCCTCTTTCCTTCCTCCTCCTCCTCCTCTTTCCTTCCTCCTCCTCCTCCTCCTTCCTTCCTCCTCCTCCTCCTCTTTCCTTCCTCCTCCTCCTCCTCTTTCCTTCCTCCTCCTCCTCCTCTTTCCTTCCTCCTCCTCCTCCTCTTTCCTTCCTCCTCCTCCTCCTCTTTCCTTCCTCCTCCTCCTCCTCTTTCCTTCCTCCTCCTCCTCCTCTTTCCTTCCTCCTCCTCCTCCTCTTTCCTTCCTCCTCCTCCTCCTCTTTCCTTCCTCCTCCTCCTCCTCTTTCCTTCCTCCTCCTCCTCCTCTTTCCTTCCTCCTCCTCCTCCTCTTTCCTTCCTCCTCCTCCTCCTCTTTCCTTCCTCCTCCTCCTCTTTCCTTCCTCCTTCCCTCCCCCTTCCTTCCTTCCCTTGGAATTTGAAGGCTCTGAACCGTGGGAAGGGGCTTCTTCCTGAACCCAACATCCTCCAAATCCTCAACAGCCTTGGAAATCCTGCTTCTCTCCAGCTTCTCCTCAACCCCCTCCTCCATGGAGCTGTGGGAGGAAAACAGGGTAAGGCAGAATTCCCAGCCCTGGGAGAAGTTGATCCCAAGAATCCCTTTCCCTCCAGGGTTGCTTTTCCCTCCAGGAATTCTGGGTGCTGCTCCCTCTGTTCCCCTGGTCACCAACCCAGCTCTTTCCAGTGCTCTTCTCCAGTTGGCTCTGCAGAACCAGACCCAGGCCCAGCAGGTGGGTGGGGATCTGGGAATCTGGGATCAGCCCAAATCCAGTGGTGGGATCATTTCCTCCCCTCAGGTTTTCCCACCCTTTTAGGCCTCTCTTTTCCCCTCCCTCATCCCTCAATTTCCCCTCCTTTAAGCCTCCATAGTTCCATGATTCCATGATCCTATAAGTCCAGATTCCATCATTCCATGATTCCACAACTCCCTGATTCCATGATCCCATGATTCCATGATCCCATAATTTGACGATTCCATGATTTGATTCTCCCATGATCCCATCACCTCACACCTCCAGAATCCCATGATCCCATGATTCCTTCCTTCCATAATTCCATGATTCTTTAAGTCCAGATTCCATCATTCCATGATTCCACAACTCCCTGATTCTGTGATTCCATGATTCCACAATCCCGTCATTCAATGATTCCATGATTAGATTCTCCCATGATTCCATGATCCCATCACCCCACACCTCCAGAATCCCATGATTCCATCATGCTTCCCATCATGATTCCATCATTCCATGCCTCCACAACTCCCTGATTCCACAATCCCATGATTCCACAATCCCATAATTCGATGATTCCATTATTAGATTCTCCCATGATCCCATCATCCCACACCTCCAGAACCCCATGATCCCATCACCCCACACCTCCAGAACCCTATGATCCCATCACCCCACACCTCTGGGGTCCCATGATTCCATCATGCCTCCCATCATGATTCCATCATGCCTCCCATCATGATTCCATCATGCCTCCCATCATGATTCCATCATGCCTCCCATCATGATTCCATCATGCCTCCCATCATGATTCCATCATGCCTCCCATCATGATTCCATCATGCCTCCCATCATGATTCCATCATGCCTCCCATCATGATTCCATCATGCCTCCCATCATGATTCCATCATGCCTCCCATCATGATTCCATCATGCCTCCCATCATGATTCCATCATGCCTCCCATCATGATTCCATCATGATTCCATGACTCCACAACTCCCTGATTCCACAATCCCATAATTCGATGATTCCATTTGATTCTCCCATGATCCCATGATCCCATCACCCCACACCTCTGGGGTCCCATGATTCCATCATGCCTCCCATCATGATTCCATCATGATTCCATCACTCCATGATTCCACAACTCCCTGATTCCACAATCCCATGATTCCACGATCCCATAATTCAATGATTCAATTATTCCATTATTAGATTCTCCCATGATTCCATGATCCCATCACCCCACACCTCCAGAACCCCATGATCCCATCATGCCTCCCATCATGATTCCATCATGATTCCATCATTCCATGACTCCACAACTCCCTGATTCCATGATCCCATGATTCCACGATCCCATAATTCGATGATTCCATTTGATTCTCCCATGATCCCATGATCCCATCACCCCACACCTCTGGAATCCCATGATCCCATCATCCCATGATCCCATCATGCCTCCCATCATGATTCCATCATTCCATGACTCCACAACTCCCTGATTCCACGACCCCACGATTCCACCATCCCATCATTCGATGCTTCCATGATGAGATTCTCCCATGATCCCATCACCCCACACCCCCAGAACCCCACGATCCCACCATTCCCACCACGATCCCACCATTCCCACCACGATCCCACCATTCCCACCACTCCCACCTCCTCTTCTCCTCCACAGAAACCCGGCATCTTGGGCGACTCCCCGTTGACTTCCCTGCCCCACAACACCCTGGGCTTGACCACCCCCCCTGCCCAGACCCCCACCCAACTCCTGGGAGACCTCCCCTCAGGTACCCACCCCCCATTCCCACCCCACCACAATTCCATCCCACTGGGAATCACCCAGCCTGGAACAAACCCCCACCCCCATCTTCTCTTCTTCTTCTTCTCCCTCCCAACCCAGGTGAGGTCGCCCAAGGACACGTCAAACCAGCCATTTTACCTCCTCCTGGGAATGTCCCTTTGGCTTCTTTCTTGGCACCAGTGGGAGTGGAAAGGGAGAACGTGGTGTTGGTGTCATCAGTCACCCCTTTGAACCCCCAAAATCCCACCCCCCCAGCTCTCCAGGGTCTCACCTCCTCCCTTCTGTGCTCTGTCAGCAGTGGCCTCCAGAAACCAAAGCAGAAC